GCCTGTCCCCTTGCCCTGCTGTGAGGGTGGTGGACCTTACTGACCCAGACCTTTCTCACCCTCCTCCTCCTCCTCCTCCTCTTCCTCCTCCTCCTGCAATCTGACCTTTCTCAACGCCCTCCACGGGATCTCCCTCCTGCCTTCACTCTGCACCTTGCTGTGGTCCCTGGCATGCAGTTGGAGTGTACCCCCATGTCTCGAGTACCAGAGGGTGGGCTCCAAAAGGGTGAGAGCTGTGTCCTCTTCACCTTGGTATGGCCCTCTCACTAACTGTTTGCTGAATGAAAAGAATGGCGTGAAGAGTTTTTCACTTGTTCTAAACTCAGTAAAGGCACTAGCCGGGCTGAGTGGCACTGAGGGAGTTTTTGGTTACTTCTTCATGGGTGAAACTTAGCCCTTACCATCCTTTTAAGTAACGAGTTGACCCACTTAAGAACCAGTGAGCTGACGCTCGGTGATTGGGAAGGAAGGTTGATGCTATTGACTTTTTGTTTGTGACTCAGAGTGAAAGCTGACAGTTGTCATTCAGGCCAGTCAGTGTGGTCCTTACAAAAGACTCTGCCTGTGTCTCACCAAGGATGTTTCCCCAAGAACCAGTTCTTTGAAGTTCAGTATGGAATTGAGCAGAAGGCCTTGTCAGTGTCCTTCTGGAATGGGGTTTATTCATTCAACCATCTACTGATTGAGCACCTTTCATCCAGGAGGCACTGTGCCAAGCTTTGGGTTTACCATCTTGTGGCTCTGGAGACAGACTAGAATTCAGAATCTGGCTCAGCCACGACCCTCGAGATTTTATGTTTTATTTTATTTTATTTGAGTTGGAGTCTCACTCTGTCATCCAGGCTTGAGGGCACTGACACACTCCCAGCCACTGCAACCTCGACCTGCTGGGCTCAGGCCATCATTCTGCCTCAGCCTTCCAAGTAGCTGGGACCACAGGCACACGCCACTGTGCCTAGCTAATTTTTTGACTTATTGGAGAGATGAGGTCTCGCCAAGTTGCCCAGGCTGGTGTCAAACCCACAGGTTCAAGCAATCCTCTCACCTCAGCCTCCCAAAGTGCTGGAATTATAGGCATGAGCCACCACGCCCAGCTAGAGCTTATGCTTTAATTTTAAAGAAATTTTTTTGGAGATAGGCACTCACTATGTTGCCTACACTGATCTCGAACCACTGGCCTCAAACAATTCTCCCACCTTGGCCTCCCAGAGTGCTGGGATTACAGACATGAACCACTGTGCCCAGCCATACCTCTGATATCTTAGGTAAACTACTTTCTCTCCCTGAGTCTGGGCTTCTCCAGCTGCAAAATATTTCTTCCTAATAGGGTTGTTGTGAGAGTTAATGAGATGTGCCTGTGGCCTTCTCAGCCGAACACACTCTGATTTCTGTGACTGTTTTCTCAGTTCTCTCAGGGACGAGACATAACCAGTACCATCCTAGATGCTCAAGAGAGAAGTTAAGTCATTAGAAATAGTGGATTTCTTAAGGCAGTGGGCCATAAGTCCCTCAAGGGAGAGAAAGGCTGGTAGAGCCTTCTTTTCTGACAGCTTGACACAGTGGCCAGTTCTTGGCTGGCTAGAATTTCACAGTGGCGTCATTGTGCGGTGAATTTGGCACATAGTAGACACTCAGTAAATGTCAGCTCCCTTTCCCAGTTCCTCCTCCCTTCCTCTCTTGCCAGGCCTTGGCGACTCCCGAAGCCACCCACAGCTTTCAGAAAGAGCCAGGCTTCCTCAGGTGGGAAGTCCCCACATGTCTCAGGGCTTTCACTTCCTCTTCCCAGACAAGGTGCTCCTGGTCCCATGGGCTGCTGTGGTGGTGCAGGTGCCCCCCCTTTCCTCTGTGCCGTTGCTTCTGAGCAGTGCTTCCTCAAGAAGGCAGAGCCCACAGCATGGTGCGGGTGTTCTCAAACACTGACCGAGCTTCACCAAGCACTGAGAGCTACATATGGACAAGACACGGAGTGCCTGGTGGCAGTTTCCAAGCTGTTGTGGGAGACATGATTTGTTTATGATGAAGCTGGTGAGGGTCCAGGGGCCAAGTCTTTACAATTTTAGGAAAAGGAGGAGGCATCAGAGTAGACAGCATAATCACTCTACCATCCGCAGGCCCCCAGAATCCCCTCTGTCTGCCATTGGTGAAGGAAATGGCATCTCTTCATGGGTCTGGAGGTCACCTCCAGGCATGTACTTGGACCAGGTATATATAGGCCAGCACCTGAAACTGCTACCAGAGATGCCCCGTTCCTCTGTCCTGTGGTAACTCAGAGTCGAGTAGCCAGTTCCATGGACGATGGATCCAATTTCGGTGACTGCAGCTTGCTCAGCTGTGGCGAGGTGCCTGTTTCATCTGAGAAGGGAACAGACACCAAGCTCCAGGTCTTCTTGCAGGGAGCCAGGTCATTCTGAGAGAAAATCGCTGGTCGTTCAACCATGGAGTAACCTCAGGGCTAGTCCCTCAATTGTCAGGTGGCCTCCTGAAACTCACCTTGTCACTCTCCCAGTAGCAGAAGCCACCAGAGCAGAGGGTGTCCAGCAGAAAGGACATAGTCACAGTCTCTGTTGCAGAAGTGGTTAGAGGGGATAGAGGCTGCGTAGGGTGAGGCCCATGCAGAGAACAGAATGAGTTCTGGCTATGTGCCTGGCTCTGAGGTAGGCCCTGGGGATGGTCAGATACAGTCCCACCCTCTGGAAATTGGTGGCCCAGATGGGAAGATAAGAGGTGGTATCTGTGATACAGCTGGAGGACATATTCCATGCAACCCTCAGCTCTATAAATGTTCAGAGTAGGGAGCAAGCTCCCTTTTTTTTTTGAGTTAGAGTCTCACTTTGTCGCCCAGGCTGGAGTGCAGTGGCATGCTCACGGCCACCCCAGTGTTGACCTGCTGAGCTCAGGTGATCCTTCTGCCTCAGCCTTTCAAGTAGCCAGAACTACAGATGTGCGCTACCACGCCCGACTAATTTTTTTTTATATATCGTAGAGATGAGTTCTCACCAAGTTGCCCAGGCTAGTCTTGAACTCCTGGGCTCAAGCCATCCTCTCGCCTCGGCCTCCCAAAATGCTGGGACTACAGGCTTAAGCCACTGCGCCCGGCCACAAGCTTCCATTTTGAGTTCTAGGACAGGTTATCTCCCAATAGCAAGTGCCAGTTAATACATCTGTAAATTGAGGGTATCACTCTTTGAGGGTCTGTCTAATGTTAGTATCGTGTTAAGAATTAGGACTGGGCGCAGTGGCTCACGCCTGTAATCCCGGCACTTTGGAGGCAAGAGGATTGCCTAAGCCCAGGAGTTTAAGACCAGCCTAGGCAACATACCAAGACCTCGTCTCTACAAAAATAAAAAAATCAGCCAGTCATAGTGGCATGTGCCTGTGGTCCCAGCTACTCAGGAGGCTCAGGTGGAAGAATCGATCACCTAAGCCAGGAGGTTGAGGCTGCAGTGAGCTATGATCCTGCAACCGCACTCCAGCCTGGGACACAGGGTAAGACTCCATCTCAAAAAAAACGGGGAGGAGATCCATGGGGGCGTGGCTGGGCCTGACGGGCAGGAGCACCTGGTTGAGTGATGGGGGTGGGGGTGAGGTGGGGAGACTCAGCTGGCCACCATCAGGGTGTTCCTCCCAGAGCCCAGAGCCTCGTCATAGCTGTGGACCTGGACTTGAGCCCTGCACCTTTGCTGTGGGGTGGGCAAAGGGAAGACAGCTGCCCTAGGCCAGTAGGGGCACAGCAAAGAGCGTGACAGAGTCCCATGCAGAGATCAGATAGGCAGGGGGACAAGACTGTGTTCTGAGGACATTCTTGCATTTTATGAAAATAATTTCTCAAGATCCCTAAACCCTAAAACATTTTCTTGGACTTTTTTTTTTGAGTTGAAGTCGCACTCTATTGCTTAGCCTGGAGTGCAGTGGCACGCTCCCGCCACCACAGCCTGGACCTGCTGGGATCAGGCAATCCTTCTGCCTCAGTCTTCCAAGTAGCCGGAACTACAGGCTTACACTACCACGTCTGGCTAATTTTTGATTTATTGTAGAGACGAGGTCTTGCCAAGTTGCCTAGGCTGGTCCACCTTGGTCTCCCAAAGTGCTGGGATTACAGGCTGAGCCACTGCGCCCAGTCTTTTCTTGGACTTTCTTCTGAGCAAGACTCTATTTCCTAGCAAGTGTGCCTGATTTAATGAAATCAGTGCTAGCAGTCAGCAGCATGTTTTTGTTCTAGAACCTTAGACTGTTCTTTAAAAATAAGAGGAATAGGCCGGGCTCGGTGGCTCAGCCTGTAATCCCGCACTGTGGGAGGCCAAGGTGAGTGAATTGCCTGAGCCCGCGGGTTTGAGACCCATCTGGGCAACTTGGCAAGATCTCATCTCTACAATAAAAATAAATAAATAAATAAAATTAGCAGGGCATGGTAGCGCACGCCTGTAGTTCCAGCTACTTGGAAGGCTGAGGTGGAAGGATCGCTGGAGCCCAGCAGGTTGAGACTGCGGTGGTCGGGAGCATGCCACTGCACTCCACTCTGGGCGACAGAGTGAGACTTTAACTCAAAAAAAAAAAAAAAATAAGAGGCATTTATTCTGTAGAATAATAAGAGTACAGAAAGATTATAAAGTGAAGAGTAGATCTCTAGCCTCACTACTCCACTAACCTGCCCCCTGTACCCCCAAAAAACCTACTCCCTGGATGTGGATACTGTGACCCATTCTGAAGCTGTATAGGACAATAACCCATGTCATGTCTACTTTTAGGCCTCAGGGTGCAGAGCTTGCTCTTGGTCTCTTGGGAAGTCAGCTTGGTTGAACCTTTTCCAGAAAGGGAGAAGGGACTGCAGCCGTGGTGTGGCGGGGTGGGCACAAGAGCCTTCAGGAGAGGCTTCTCAGGGGACTGGAAGGGATGGTCAGCAGCCACCCCACTTCACCCTAGTGTCACCGGGATTGTTCGTGGGCTCTGGCCAGGGTTCTTATCTCTCTCCATGTCTAAAGTTTATTTTTTCACCTCCTCAGGATCCCTCTGTGACCCAGCTGACCAATGCCCCTCAAGGTGGCCTGGCTGAATTCAATCCCTTCTCTGAGGTAGGTGGGCACACCGTCTGCTGAGTCCCATAGTCCTATGTGGGGATGCTGGAGTCTCTGGGGCAAGGAGCCTTGGCAGAGACAGAGCAGCTCTGAGAAGCTGCAGTCCTCAAAGGGACAGTCTTAACATGAACTCAGGGGTGGGGTAAGGACGCGAGAGTCACCAGAGGCTCTCTGAAATTCTCCCCTTGGGATCCATGATCTGGGCCTGCCTTGAGGAGGCCGGGGTGCTGGGTTAGGGATCTGACTGCCCTGGACTGGACCAATGCTCGTTGTCTGAGAAGCTGCAGAGGAAGGCCCGTGCAGGCCCAGAGGAGTCCCCTCACAGGCAGGACACATTGCTTGTTCTGCTGTGGGTTTTCCCCTCATCACCAGCTAGCAGAGTCCCACTCATTTCCCTCCTTTGATCTGTCCCTTGCAGACAAATGCGGTGACAACGGTTCCTGCCACAGTCCCTGGGCCCTCGCAGCCGGCGGTTCTCCAGCCCTCAGTGGAGCCAACCCAGCCAAGCCCCCAGGTACTGCTAACAAAGAGCCCTTGGCCTTGCCTCTCCAGGGAGGGAACCTCCCAGGCCAGGAGCCAAGCCCTGAGGAATGGGGTGGGCAGAGAGTCTTGGTCCCTGACTCCCTTCAAGGCCCTCTTGCTGCTTTCTCTGGGGCTCCTCACCTACAAGTGAGGAGGCTGCTCTGCCAGTCAATATCCTCATCCCCCTCCAACCGCCACCACCAGAAAATAAGCTGTACTCACCAGGGTCCTCTGTGTCTCCAGAGAGAGTGTTTGTCCTTGTTGTGACCCTCTAGGACCTCCAGGCTTTGGCTTGTTCTTTCTTCTTCAGGGCCCAGAATTTTTTTGTTTTTGAGTCTGCGTCTCATTCTGTTGCCCAGGCTGGAGTGCAGAAGCACAACCCCAGCTTACTGCAGCCTCAACCTCCTGGGCTCAGGTGATCTTTCTACCTTTCCACCTCAGCCTCCTAAGTAGCTGGGACCACGAGTGCACACCACCACACACGGCTTATTTTTTTAGTTTTTTTGTTCTTTTTGAGTTGGAATCTCACTCTGTCACTTAGGCTGGGGTGCAATGGCAGGCTCACAGCCTCCATAGCCTCGACCTGCTGGGCTCAGGTGATCCCTCCACCTCAGCTGGAACCACAGGCATGTACCACCACACCCAGCTAATTTTAAAAAAATTATTGTAGAGGTGAGACCTCGCTATGTTGTCCAGGCTAGTCTCAAACCCTTGGTCTCAGGCAATCCTCTCGCCTCTGCCTCCCAAAGTGCTGGGATTAAAGGCATGAGCCACAGCACCCAGCTGATTTTTCCCTCTCTCTCTCTTTTTTTTTTTTTTTTTTTTGCTTTTAGTTGCAGTCTGACTCTGTCGCCCAGACAAGTGCAGTGGCACGCTCCCGGCCACCGCAGCCTTGACCTGCTGGGCTCCGGCGATCCTTCCACCTTAGCCTTCCAAGTAGCTGGAACTACAGGTGTGCGCTGGAACTACAGGCGTGCACTACCACGCCCGGCTAGTTTTTGATTTATTGTAGAGATGAGGTCTCGCCAAGGTGCCCAGGCGGGTCTTCAACCCATGGGCTCAGGCAAACCACTCACCTCGGCCTCCCAAAGCGCAGGGATTATAGACTGAGCCACCGAGCCTGGCCTTTTTTTTTTTTTCTGTAGAGACAAGGGCTCGCTGGGTTGCCAAGGCTGGTCTTGAACTCCTGGGTTCAAGCAGTCCTCTTGTCTTGGCCTCCCAAACTGCTGAGATTACAGGTGTGGGTTACCACACCTGGCCGAGAATCTTTTTTTTAAACATCATTGATTCCTGCCTTCCTTTGTCCCTTCACCAAACACGCTACCCTGCCCTCCCCACCCCTCGCTGCCCCGTGAGCTTGTCCCACAGTGGAGTTGTGTGTTGCAGCTCCTGCTTAGACAGGCCAACAGGTTCCTGCCTAGCCGATTCCTGGCAGTGAGCGAACTCTCAGAGAGGCAGAGGCTGCTAGGAGGAGATAGTATTCTCAGAGACAGCTACATGCAAAAGCTTCCGCAGGTAGGCAAGTGCAGATGAGCTGAGGGAGGGCGGGGTACCTGGAACCTGCCCCAGCGGGGCCCCGCTCCGCAGGTCCTGGAACCCTGTGGAGGCGAGGCAGGCCTCACATGTGGGGGTGCCTTGTGTTCAGCTGGGTGGCGGCTGTAGGGACCTGAATCATGCTCACCTGAAGTCACAGACTCAGAGAGAGGAGGCCAAGACCCCCAGCGTGGCACAGCGGGGTCAACTGTGTTTCACCTCTGCTCTTAGTGTCTAAAACTCACCTCCCAAAGGTGGCCTTGGGTCCTTGGAGAGCTCCTTTGGGAGAGGTGCGTGTGTATGTGGGTACACTTATGGCTGGTATGTCGCCCTGTGAGATGACTGGTTTGTTTGATTTTTTTTTTTTTTTTTTTTTTT